ATGGTAACAAAATGGTGAAGTTTGTGACATTTTTTCAAATATAATTTGACAAAATCATAGTGATTGTTTGATTTGACAAAATTATTTTGGTTATATGTTAACAAGAAGAATCATATGTTAAAAAAAAAACACTGTGTCAAGGAAATAAAAGGAAAGAAAAATACTACAAGCAGCTCTCTCTTTTAAAAAATGTCCAGTTACTATGAAGAAACATTCTCTGACCACTACAAAACAGTACTACCTCACATAGTAGGACAGTGGGGAAATCAGGCTACTACATTTTAGGATGTTAAAATACCTCCAGTTCTGGGGCTGGAGCGATAGCACAGTGGGTAGGGCGTTTGCCTTGCACGCAGCCAACATGGCCAACACAGGTTCGATTCCCAGCATCCCATATGGTCCCCCGAGCACCGCCAGGAGCAATTCCTGAGTGCATGAGCCAGGAGTAACCCCTGAGCATCGCTGGGTGTGACCCAAAAAGAAAAAAAAAAAAAACTAAAAAAACCACACACCTCCAGTTCTCTTACCTTTTTTCTCAAGACTTACATTGTGAAAATTATTACATTTTGAATGTTTTTCAAAAATCTTATTAGTAAATATCACATAGAAAACTATCCTAAACTATCACACAGAACACTTGAGACTAGTATATAAATACCAATAATATGATGGAGGTGAGGGTGGGTTTGGGCCATACCAGACATTGCTTGCAGGGACTATTACAGTGTTAGAGTTTGAACCTAGCTCCCACAAAGCCCGTACTCCAGCCCATTGAGCCATCTCATGAGAGAGCAGTTTTTATTTTTTATATAAGTTCTCCAGACAAAAACAGAAAAGTTGGTTCAACATTTGTGGGTTTTATTTTGTTTTAGTTTTTGAGCCACAACTGGCTCTGCACTCAGGAATTACTGCAGGCGGTACTTGGGGGACCACATGGGATACTGGAGATTGAACCTGGTAGGCCACATGCAAGGCAACTGCCCTACCCGCTGTACTATTACTCATCTTCTGGTTCAACACTTTTTGGTAAAGTGATAAATGTTGCTTATTGAATAAAATATGCACTAAATTGTAGAAACCAGAATTTTATGGCAAGAAGCTTCCATTCAATAACATTTGATACAATTATGTTTTCTTGCTCAATTAACAGTAAATCTTTTAATAACTTAAAAGGTCTTGAAAGCATCCTGAAGGGTGAACACCTGTCTCACAGATTTCATTCACCTTATATTGGCTCTTCTATTTAAGTTGAGAGGATTGTTATTTGATAAGCAAAGAGAGTAAAGGTCTCTCTGATTAAGGAAACAATGGTAACATAATTTAGATTTATGCTTAATTATACCCAGACAGAAATGAAAACAAACTTAAATGGTTATATCTTTATGGTCCCCCAAATAAAGATTTAGACAGATACCTTTAGAATTTTCCTGGCCACTTTGTGTTGGTACTGGACATGTAACGCAGGGAGTTAGATAGGGGTCGACACAAAGAGAGCTACAGAGGTTTTTGATAATTTTTGAATTGGGGCAAGGTGTCCTTGTTGTGCACTGCTGAAGTAGTTTCGCTATGCACTGAGCGGCATAGTTTTGCACCAGTGTATTATCTTCTTTTTTAATTGTTTCCATTAATGGTTTTATGATAGGATTTAATTTCTCTGGAAGTTGCTGCAAGCTCACAACTGCACATGCAGCAAAAGTATGAACTCTCAACTGTAACACTTGCCACTCCTGGTTGGTCTCTGTAACTGTCATCTGGACCTGTTGTCGTTTACTATCTAACTGCTGTAACACTTGAGGATTTAAATTGAAAGATGATGTGACTTCATTAAAAACAGTAGTGACCTATTAAAAGAAAGAAATTAAAAATCATTAATCACATCAACCCTATCTGTAAACTCCATAAAGGACAATTAGCTTTCTTTTTAAATTTAAGATTAAAAATATCTAGCATTACCTTAACTTTCAGAGATGCAGAAAACATTTCATGTGACTTAGTTTAACCTTAGCATTGTATTCTTTAAGAGAGATAAATTCAAAGGGAAGGATATGGCTAGGGATGTGGCCCAAAAGGTAGAATGTGTGAAGTTCTGAGTTCAATCTCTGACACTTGACTGAGGCCCTAGTAGTGACAAGTGTGGCCACCATTAAAAAAAAAAAAGGCATTCTTGTAGAAGGACAAAATTATCTTTTAAATGTATCAAGTTTGAAAGAAAACAATACCCACCTAGCACTTTGGTGATATAAGAAAGCCATAAACAAATATAAACTTTATTTAAAAATGTAAATTTTTGTTGTTACTGTGTTTGGCATATCAAATACTCTCGCTTTTAGGGATATTTTTATTTCCTTTTCTTAAAGGTGGTGGGCTCCCAGATGGCAATTCTTGAGCTGGAGGAAGTTAGGACCCAGAAGTGTACTGCTAGGGATTACATGGCTCACCCTGGAAGTGTTCAGGGGCTTCCAAGGCTATGCCCAGTGACGTCCCAGGAGGGCACATGCTGCCAGGGATCAGCTGAGGTAGCTGAACACAAGGTGCACACCTTATTCTTATCCTATTTCTTTCCTTTTTTGGGGGATCACAACTGGCAGTTTGAGGACCATACGTAGGACTGGCTATTGAACTGAGGGTTACGGGATACAAGTCAAGTGTTTAATCCCTGTATGTTTCTTAGGAGGGGTAACACATGGCAGGCAGCATCTGGAAGTACTATGGTGCTGAGGCTGCATGGTACTGAGGATCAAACTCTGAGTTTCAATGCTATGCACATGCTCTGCCATGTAAGTTATATCCCTAGGCCTAGAAAATATTTAGGGTAGCTGTTGCTAAGATAACCTCTATCTTCCTGTTACCTGTTTTTGTTTTTTCATTAATTCTTTAATTACCAAGAGCTGCTTAAAGCTACAAGTGGTCAAAGAGATAGTATAGTGGGTAAGGCTCTTGATTTACATGAGACCAACCCAGGTTAGATCCCTGGTATTCCATATGGTCCCCCAAGCTTACCAGGAGTGATCCCTGAGCACAAAGTCAGGAGTAAGTCCTGAGCATGCTGGGTGTGGCCCCAAAACAATGAAAAGGTCTGGGGTGGGGGTGGAAGAGAGAGATGGTACAGAGGGTAGGGTGCTTGCCTTTCATGCTGCCAGCCCAGTTTAGATCCCCCCCACATCCCATATGGTTTGAAAAGTTTACTGGAAATGATTCCTAAGTGCAGAGTCAGGATTAGATTCTGACCACTGCTAGGTGCAATCCCAAAACAACAAACCCCCCCCCCAATAGAAGATTCTTAGGTACAACATCTGAAACAATATCACTGAGTGATATTGTTCATATACTACATACTACATCCATTTTTTTTCGGGCTGGAGCAATAGCACAGCAGGTAGGGCATTTGCCTTGCACACGGCTAACCTGAGTTTGATTCCTCTGTCCCTCTTGGGAGAGCCCTGCAAGTTGCCGAGTATCCTGTCCACACAGCAGAGTCTGGCAAGCTCCCTGTGCATACTCGATATGCCAAAAACAGTAACAAGTCTCACAACAGAGATGTTACTGGTGCCCGCTCGAGCAAATTGATGAACAACGGGAGGACAGTGCTACAGTGCTACATCCATTTTAAGGAAATTCAACTTGTATATTCACAAATTTGCACAACAATCTCAATGTTATAATATTCTCATCACCTCCAATAAAACTCATATCTGTTAAGTCATTCTGCATTTCCTCCCAATCCTTCACAACCACTTATCTATTATTATCTTTATAAATTTATCTATCTAGATATTTCATACGAGTAGATTAATACAAACAGGTAGTATTCTGTGACTGGTTTCCTTAATTTAACATGCTTTCATGGACAGTATATTGATGTTGTAGCATATGAGAACCCCAAGCCCCCCTCTTTTTTTTTTCTTTTTGGGCCACACCCGACGATGCTCAGGAATTACTCCTGGCGGTGCTTGGGGGACCATATGAGATGCTGGGAATCGAACCCGTGTTGGCCGAGTACCCGCTGTGCTATCACTCCAACCCCCTAGGTGGGTATTGTTTTCTTTCAAACTTGATACATTTAAAAGATAATAATCTGGGCATAATCCTGTCTCTGCACTCAGATCATTCCTGGCAGTGCTCAGGGGATCCTATGTGGTGCTGGGAAGCAAACCCTGGTCAGCTGCATACAAGGCAAATGCCCTTCCCACTGAACTATAACTCCAGTCCTATAACCCTATTTCCACCTTTTAGCTATAATAAACAATGCTAACAATGCTACTATAATCAAGTATGTACAAGTTTTTTGTATGGACACGTTTTTTCAGTTACCGTCTAAAGACTGTGTGACTATATTTGCTCGAGCGGGCCCAGTAACGTCTCCATTGGAGACTTTGTTGTTACTGTGTCTGGCATATCGAATACTCTCGGTAGCTTGCCGGGCTCTCCGAGAGGGGCGGAGGAATCGAACTCGGGTTGGCCATGTTGGCCGCGTGTAAGGCGAACGCCCTACCCGCTATGCTATTGCTCCAACCCCTTAACTATATAAAAAAACAAATAGACTTTCTGTTTGGAAGGTTAACTGTCAGTCTCCATAAATAAATCTAATTAATACTGATCAGAAAAATCTATTAACACTGATCTTTTAATTCAAAAAGTGCGGGGGAGCAGGAGCAACAGTACAAAGGGTAGTGCATTTGCCAACCTGAGTTTGATCCCTAGAATCCCATATGGTTCCTTGGAACCATGAGGAGTAATTCCTGAGTTCAGAACTAGGAGTAACTCCTGTGCACCAAAAGGTGCGGCCCAGAAAAGAAAAAAAAGTATTTTTAGTTGGCAATAATCATTACCCTACAGAGAAGAAAATAATGTCGGCTTGTTAGGATGAAAATAAATGCACAAATTAAGACCTTATTTTACAATTCTAAAATTATAAAATATCAAAGATTCTAAATTGAGATGTTCTTGTTGTCCATGTTCAACATAAAGGAAACACGATCTCATGCTATTTCATGTTTTAAATATGTTTACCCCAATTCAATCTGGCTGCCACAGAGACAGAAAGCCCTGGGATTTTTTTCCTTTTGCAACCTAGTGTAAACCAAAAGAACAGCAGCAAATTGTTCAAAGGTCTATCAGTTGATGCAGTATTTTTTTTTCTTTTACTGTTTTATTTCACTGGAGCAATAGCACACTAGGTAGGGCATTAGCCTTGCACGTGGCCGACCTGGGTTCGATTCCTCTTCCTTTTAAAGAACACATAATTCAGGGGTTGCAGGTATAGCTTTGTAAACAGACATCTTGAAGTAGGGAGTGGAGTGGAGTAGGGTGATGTCCAAAGAACTGAAAAAAGTTTATTAGGGCTTAACCACAGGGTACAGATGGAAGAAGACTCAAGATGACTGAAGACCACCAGGGACACCTTGAAGGTACTTGGGGGCCTCCAGTTCTGCATGCAGCCGTGCTTCTGGGGCCCATATGGTATTGACTGAACCAGTTTGTAACCCCATAGAGGATTTAAATCAGCAAATTGCTGAAAAAATTAACAGGAGCTCAGATGTGAGAATGAGCAATCACAGTAAGTGAATGAGTGGGGTAGATTTGTACAAGGGGAACACCATTTTTTTTTTTTTTTTTTGCATTTTGGGCCTCACCCAGAGATGCTCAGGGGTTACTCCTGGCTCTGCACTCAGGAATTACTCCTGGCAGTGCTCAGGGGACCATATGGGATGCTGGGAATTGAACCCGGGTCAGCCGCGTGCAAGGCAAACGCCCTACCCACTGTGCTATCACTCTAGCCCCCTACACCAATTATTGAAGGAAATTTGAAAAATAATGTGAATGCCTAAAGCATAATAGATGAATCAGAACATCGTTATAAAATACTAAAGTCTTAAACTGGATTTTGGCAATGGAAACAAACGACAAACACTAAGAGTTTTTGAAAGAAAATGTTGACAAGATTTATGATTATAGACTTAAAAAGGGCACTTTTCTTTTAATTGGTGCTTCAGGGACCATGTAGGGTCAAGATCCAACTTGCGCCTTCTGCATGCAAAACATGTGATAATCCCACTGAAACATCCCTCTAGTCTCTAAATTAAGAACATTTTTCTTTTTTTTCTGTTAAAAATAAATTCTAGGGCTGGGAAGGTAGTACAGGGGTTACAAACTAGTTCAACCAGTTTCATACAGCCCCAGAAGCAAGGCTGCATGAAGAATTGGAGGACCCCAATACCTTCAAGGTGTCCCTGGGGGTCTCCAACAATTTAGAGTCCTTGAAGCAAAGCAACTTGTGTCCTTGCCACTGAACTGCTGGCCCAGTTGATGACCACCCGGGACACCTTGAAGGTACTTGGGGGCTTCCAGTTCTGCATGCAGCCGTGCTTCTGGGGCCCATATGGTATTGACTGAACCAGTTTGTAACCCCATAGAGGATTTAAAGCAGCAACTTTCTGTCCTTGCCACTGAATTGCTGGCCCAGTTGGTGACCACTAGGAACACCTTGAGGGCCTCCAGTTCTACATGCAGCCATGAGCACCTAGGAGAGGCTCTGAGCACCACTTGGGGACCCCCCAACCTCCACCAAAAATATCTTTTTTTTTTTATTATTTATTTGGGCTAGAGCAATAGCACAGCGGGTAGGGCGTTTGCCTTGTGCGCAGCCAGCCCAGCTGAGCCGGGTTCGATTCCTCCACCCCTCTCGGAGAGCCTGGCAAGCTACCAAGAGTATCTTGCCCGCACGGCAAAGCCTGGCAAGCTACCCGTGACGTATTCAATATGCCAAACACAGTAGCAAGTCTCAAAATGAAGACGTTACTGGGTCGGCTCGAGCAAATCGATGAACAACGGGACGACAGTGTTCTTTGTTTTATTTATTGATTTTTTTCTTTCTGGGTCACACCCGGTGCTGCACAGGGGTTATTCCTGGCTCATGCACTCAGGAATTACTCCTGGCGGTGCTCGAAGGACCATATGGAATGCTGGGTATTGAAACTGAGTCAGCTGCGTGCAAGGTAAATGCCCTACCTGCTGTGCTATCACCACAGCCCTCAAAAATAATTTTTTAAAAAATTAATAAATTCTAAAGATTACGGTATGGTTTAGTGGTAGACCATATGGCTTTACATGCTATGATGACCTACATTTGCCAACCCCAGCAACCTCAAAATAATTCTCCCTTTGTTAGTTTCTCAAAAAAAAAATTGCTTTAACTTAATCACCTTGAATTATAGAGTTATAAAGTTATTCATGACTGAGTTCAGGTGTACAATGTTCCAACACCAATCCCTTCACTAGTGTCTACTTCCCTCCACCAATGTCTCTAGTTTTCCTCCCACACCCCAGCCTCTCTCTTGGCAGGCACTATTTTCCTTTTTCCCTCCTTTTTTTGTTTCCCTTTTAGGCACTGTGGTTTACTCTACTGTTACTGACAGGGTATTATGCAAGTCACTTTACCTCCTTTCAACACCCTGGTCCAGAGTGATCACTTCCCTCTATCATTGTCATAATGATCCCTTCACGGACCTATCTTATTTTTCTTCCTGTCCCCAATACACAGCTTCCTACAAAGGACCAGTTCTCCTACTCTTTGCTTCCACTGCCTTTGTCTCCCTCCTAGATGTTGGTTGTATTTAAGTCTGAAGTGACAGTGAAGATAGCCAAGCAAAAATGCCTAACAGAAGAACACACAAAAAATGGGGAAGAAAGGAAGGAGGGAGGGAAAGAGGGAGGAAGGTTGGGCAGGGAAGCAAACATATTGTTAAGAACAAAATTATGAAAATGATAAAATATTTAGAAAACAAAAACAAAAACACTAGGTCAGAGCAATATTACAATGGTTAGGGTGTTTGCCTTGCATACTGCCAACCTAACAGGGCTTGATTCCTGGCATCCTATATGGTCCCCAAAGCACAGCCAGGAGTAAATTCTGAGTACAGAGCCAAGAGTAATTGCCAGGAATGGCCCAAAAACAGATTTAAAACTAAAACAAAACCCTGGTGAAATGTCTATATTTGGTAGGTCACTGTCACTGTTCTCCTGTTGTTCATCGATTTGCTGGAGTGGACCCAGTAACACTGTGAGACTTATTACTGTGTTTGGCATATCGAATACGTCACAGGTAGCTTGCCAGACTTTGCCGTGTGGGCGAGATACTCTCGGTAGCTTGCCGGGCTCTCCGAGAGGGGTGGAGGAATCGAACTCGGGTCGGCCATGTTGGCTGCACGCAAGGCGAACGCCCTATCCGCTGTACTATCGCTCCAGCCAATTTGGTAGGTAAGAGAAAAATATGAATTCAATGAAAAGTACAAAGGACTTTCAGGCTGCAGGACATAACACAGAGTGCCTTAACCTGATACCCTTTCATCTGGATGGCCGAGGGAGGGAGAGAGGGAAAAGGTGGATCATCTTCTCCCCTCTTAAAAAAGTTACTGATGTTGGGGGGAAAAAAAAGAAAAATACCAAGGATAGTAGTTCTCAGACAAGCCAACTTTTTTTTTTTAATTTTTATTTTTGGGTCACACCAGGTGTTGCACAGGGGTTACTCCTGGGTCTACACTCAGAAATTACTCCTGGCGGTACTCAGGGGACCATATGGGATGCTGGAAATTGAACCCGGGTCAGCCGCGTGCAAGGCAAACACCCTACCCACTTTGCTATCGCTCCAGCAACAATGATCAGACAAGCCAACTTTTAAAAGTGCCCTTTCTCAATATTTTCTTCCAGAGATTCTGATATCCCAGGGCAAAGCTATTAAATTAATGAAGTTAACAAAATAGTAGTTTCACTGGACAGTAAGTAAAGGCCCTCCCGTTGATCATCGATTTGCTCGAGCAGGCCCAGTAACGTCTCCATTGGAGACTTTGTTGTTACTGTGTCTGGCATATCGAATACTCTCGGTAGCTTGCCGGGCTCTCCGAGAGCGGCGGAGGAATCGAACTCGGGTCGGCCATGTTGGTTGCGTGCAAGACAAACGCCCTACCGCTGTGCTATCCGCTCCAGCCCAGTAAGAGTGATGAATAAAATTCGGGAAGAGGCCACTGAGAGTTTTTACAAGAATTGCTGCCCAAAATAGTAGGAAATAAACCCATACCATAAATAAACTATGAAATTTCATCCTAGATAGACAAGAAAAGGGGGAAGAGATATAAAAATTATTTTTAAAAATCAGGAAAATATGGTGACAGATAGCTCAGAGGGCTGAAAAGATGCTTCACATGTTAGAAGCGCAAATTTAAACCCCAGCAACAGACAGACCACTGTCATAAGTGACCCATAAACAGAGATCAAGAAGTAGCCTCTGAATATCATCAGGTATGTCTCCCCACCAAATCAGAAATATAAACTTATAAAGTGCTCTGAAAATAGCAATTGTAGCTTTCTCTCACAAATAAGAACAGCAAGACCAAACCACTGTATTAGTAGTTAGAAAAAGGGTAACAAGTACCGATTTCTGTTTAAACAAGATCAAGATATGTAAATGGTTCAGTTTCTACTTTTATAATCCAGTACAATAAGAAATCATTTATACTACAACTAACCTCTAGAATTTACTGAGTACAAAAAGCTACAATTATGATACTGGAACTGGCAGACAAAAGACAAAGAGTTTGAACAAAGAGAACCCAGAAGCAGACCCACTTATAGTATAGCTAAAGTTTATTTTGTTTTAGGTTCACACCCGGCAGTGTATAACGTTTACTCCTGGCTCTGAGCTCAGGGATCACTCCTGGTGGGGCTTGGAGAACCATATGAGTATGGGGTGCTGGGGATTGAATCCAGGTTGGCTATGTGCAAGCGCCCTACCCACTGTACTATCTCTCTGGACCAATCAACTGATTTTTGACAAAGGTACCAAAGTAATCAAATGGGAAAATAGTCTATGGCTTTTGGGGTCACACCCGGTGATGCTCAGGGGTTACTCCTGGCTCTGCACTCAAGGATCACTCCTGGAACAGAGCAATAGCACTTCGGCCTTTCCCCCCCAAAAAAGTTCTTTTCAATAAATTTTGAAAAAAACACTAAATCTTCATTTCACATACACATAAACATTACCTCAGTACATTAATAAAAATGTAAACAATAGCTAAAATACAAAGTCTTGGAAGAAAATATATATGATTACCACTGCTCGTTTTAAAAAAGTA